AATGCCAGTCTGACAAATCCTCTGACAGGGTATAACTGGGCCTAATTTGGACAGGACTGTTGTATTCATTTGAACAGCACTGGAGGCTGAACATGTTGAATCATAGTTATTATAAGCAAAGTGCATGAATGCCTTTGTCTCGGGACATTATGAGCAGCTGTAAGCCACCATGATGAAGTGAAAGCACACAGGCTAAAGCCGTGACAGCACATTCAGATGATGTGGGTCAATAATGGCTTATTAAATCTTTGGAAATTACCACATTTTTTGCCCCTAAACAATAAAAAAGCTGCAGCATTACTCTGCATTGTCTGCAGCCACTGTACCCATCTGCTTAATCACAGCCCAAATAAATAAGTAGCTATTGCTTCCGCTCATCCAGCTGGCGAGTGGTTTCCTCTCACCACTCTGTAGAAATGGGCAGGAATAACTACCACAGTGAAATGTGCACAACCCTGTAAACATACTAACAGAGGCAGATGTACAGTGTACACATAAAGATGTACTGTTCATGAAAACATACAGTACACAAAGAGGCATAAATCAATCAAATAATCACAAACTTTATTGCCAAGTATGTTAGAATACAATACAGCTCTGTTACAGATGTGCTTCTCTGTCCTCTTAGACATTGCACTGATGTCACTTATCAAATCCTGCTTAAAACAATGAATTGCTTGTTTGCAGATTTTGATTTTTGACATGGTTTTTAAATACAGAGGCTGATTTGGGGAATTACACCTACAATATTTATTGGACAGTTTGCCTCTTAGACCCTGATTTCATTCAAAATGAAGGTCAGATATTCTTTAAATGTCCAGAACCACTTTTAAAAAGGCTCCAGAAATGCTGCTACTGACATACGTCTGACCTTTAATGCCTCTCTGTCGTGTGTTTTGCATTGTGGTTGAGAGTTCATGAAGGTTCAGCTCCAGCTAATAATGTTAATGCACTACCTTGTATTGGCAGGCCTGACTTAATGCTCTTTATCCACCTGCCAAAATAGCACAAAGATGAAAGCTCCAGAAGATCAGCTGCATTAATCCCAGAGTGGTATAAAAACTATCCTGACTGCAGCTCGTGAACAAAGTGCAGAGGCTGCAGCTAATTCTCATTAGTAAATGAGCAGCCTTTTATGGCTCGCTGTGGAAGAGCTGCTGATAGCATCAGTGAGAGAACCGCTTTCCTACCCAGTGGATTTCACATCAGTGGTTTTTCCCTTTTAGTTTTTAGACTGTGGCAGTAAAAAGCTTGATTTTAAACATAAAGATTAAACAGTAGATTAAGTTAATAAGAAACATAAGTTTAAACCAGTTCAGTGCTGTTTCACTTACAAATGTGGATAGAGGTGACCAGCAGTTTGTGTGCGTGCACGGATCTGTTTTGTCATTGTATATGCTTTGTAAGTAAAAAGCTGATCTCAGGAGACACTTAGGCAACCACTTCTCCTATAAGTGAATGTTTCCTGGCCTTTTCTTAGAGGACTGACACCAATCCCTCGTCTGTGCAGTAAACATGAAGCTGCAGCAGTTCAACATAAAGACCGGGCTAATCTGGCTCTGTGCAATAGTAACACAATCTGCCCACCAGCACGTCGAAGGTTTGCTAATTAACATTGTGTATCTCACTTTGCTCAGATCTAAAGTGTAAAGACAGTTTCCAGCAGGTTCTCCAGCAGCTGCTCAGCCAAGAAAGACTTTGACACATAAGCCTCAAATTGTTTTTATACTTATGTTTTTGTACATCCTAAAACACAGAGTGTTGTACAACGTGTTGATCAGTGCACTCGGAGGGACTGCTAGGTGGATTTTACTAACTAAGCTAAGGTAAGGGGGTGTGATTACTGTCTGTACTGTACATTCACTTCTGTGCTACTGCTTCACATTTGCTTTCAGCGTGTATATTGATATTACTGTCACTGGTGCTACCCCCATACTGCTGCTGTACAGACAAGCCCTGCTGGCTCCTCGGCAGGTACAGTAATACAGTTATAGAAGCGTAACATCCTCTTAAAGTCTATTTACATTAAGATGAACTAAGCCGGCGGGTGCCACGGAGACTGTGAAGTACATGTGCAGTGAGCCGAAACACTGTAAAACGACTTACTAACAATAACCTTTATATAAAGTGCAGTCAACAGAAACGACTAATCAGATCGGTATTTGCTCTGAGCCCCCTTTGCCTTTACAACAGACCCACTTCTCCTCAGTACACCTGCACACGGCGTTTCCAGATAATGGTAGGTTGTTCCAGCATCTCGAAAAAGGCTGCCACAGTGGACTGAGGTCGTCTCAGTGGCTTCAGACTCTTCATGTGATCCCAGACTGACTCCATGATGTTGAGATCAGGGCTCGGTGTGGTCATACCAGGTAGAGACACATTAGGTCAGTAACCGGGCAGCTAGCCAGGTCTCTGTAGTGCACAGTATCTATGGCCCAGGAGCGTTGCCTGGTGATGTGGAAAGGAATTCTGGGAAATGCAGGGAATTGCTGACTGAAGCAGAAAGGGCCAGTGAGCAGAGTAACTGCTGGAGAGATTTGACCATAATGATACAAGACAATGTGAAGGCCTTAACAGCAGTAACACTGAACTTCACAGAAGAATATCTGAAATGTGCAAAAACAGAAGGTCGGCAGCTTGTAATCAAATGACCATATGTGGTCTAAAAGGAAGCAGGGTGTGTTTGAGGCTGTCGCTGCCCGGGTGGGATCCCAGAAAACCCTCCCTGGACAGGAAGAGCACCTGTGTTTCAACTCTACAATAAAGTGATTCATTTTTGCAATCCATACAGATTAAGAGTGAATCGTAGAGAGTCGGGGAAGAAGAAATAATTTTCTCCTGAAAATTACTTTAGTGGATGTTTCCCTGAAATACATCATCCCCTGTGTCACTGCTGTGTAGCAGAGGAAAGAAAGGAAGGCGCTCTGCAGGCAGATTAGAGAGACAGCTCGGAGACAGTTATTTGGTGGTGAACTTTAGCATCTTCACTCCTGACGGATGCCTCTGTTCAAGGCAATGTCTGAGAGTGTTGACATCAACCTTTAGTCGAGACCTTTACGTCAGTGACGGCCTGAGAGAAGGACGAGGACGAGAGGAGTGGGAGGTAAAACTGATGTTATTATTGGTGTCAGACAAACATTTACACAAACTTGAAGATTCATGATTGTGGCCGCACACTGTTTACATCATCACATGTGAGTAGTTTGTGTACTGTGTGTTTGACCGTGTCATAGCGTTGACCATGTGTACGTTGTCCTTTCAATCCACTGAGGCGTCACCTTGGGGAGTGAGAGGTCATCTCTCTGCACACCTCCAACCAGTCATCCTGCTTAGCAGGTAAACAGCTAATGAGTCAAGAAGAGGCTGCATCGACCTGGTAGTAGAGGCCCAGACCTTGTGGAGAAGGATGGAGGACTTTAACGCTGTAGTTGGGGTGGCTGTGGCTCAGGAGGTAGAGCGGTTGGCGGTTTGATTCCCGTTCTCCCCAGTCCACTTGTTGAAGTGTTTTTGGGCAAGACACTGAACCCCAAGTTGGTCCCGATGGCCAGAGCATGGCTCTGCAGGAACAATGCTGCCATCGGTGTGTGCGTGCGAGGTGGTGCTGCAGACGGCTGCCTCGGTTCTGTACGACATAGTTGGCCAATAAAAGTGATTGCCATAATCAGATCAGGGGCTAGATCCTGACAGTATCTGTAGTGTAATTGATCAGGTGGTTAATGAAATGTGAAGCTGGGAAATACTCTCTTGATCAAGCGCTTGCCTTGATTTCGTGTACCACGAATCCTTGCATTTACTCACCACGGCTTCAGTGGGATGGACATCACCGACCCTTCGTAGACATTAACACTGGTATATTTTATCTATAAAGCGATACTGAGTAAACTTCCAGTCGGTGTCCTGAACCTGCACCCTGCTCTCAGACTGGATGTGCACAGACACTTGTTTCATTTACATGACTTATGATTTGTCACGGAGCGTCTGAAGGCTCGTCTTGTCACGATGGGAGACTGGGCAGCAGGTTCAGTTTGTCTAAGTGAGAACTCCACTTCATGGACTGGGCCCTGGATCCAGCAACATGTTGGTCTTTGTCCATCTCACATAATTTCACCTTTATCAACCCAACTTCATTGTCTGAGGCTCAGCTAGTGCTAAAATAAAATATTTTGCCATGATATTGAAAAGCTCATTAAAGATAAATAATGGGTGAATCACATCATAAAAAACAAATAAGATTCTGAAAACATAATAAAAAAGAAAAATGAGCCAGTGGCACAAAACGGTGTATTAATACAGGCGGTTTAGCCATATCTTTAATACCGTTTGCAGACTTTATTAAAGTTATAGAAGGGATTTTTACTCCCACAACCTGACTGCACACTGGGCTGAAAAGCCTCCAAAGCTGTTTGTGGGCCATCGCGGGGCACTAAAACTCTGATGAAATCGCTTCAGGTTTGCCAGCTCTTCAAAGCACAATTTCATCATGAGTTAGAAAATGCATTTACGTGCCTGTGGTCAGAGAGTAATCTCTGTCTTCATCTGCAGTAGATGACTCGGGCTCACCAACACTATATTCAAGAAAAGGCCAGATTCAGGCCAATACATCAGCTCACCGTGCCTCTCTTCTTCAGCCCGTTTGTCCCTCTGCGTTCACACCATCTATGTGACTCACTGGTGCAAAAACACTGCACAAACATGCACAGGCACTTCAGGTGGTGTGTGCATGAATGTCTCAGCCCATTATCTGTGAGCCCATCTCTGGGGATGATTGCTCATCTAATTAACTGACATCGATACAAATGAGAGCTGGTCCCTGACACATCACTCTCTCTTCCTTTCTCACTTTCTCTCTGTCTCCTTTGGTTCATCCTTCTCTCTGTCTTTGTCTGTCTTCATGCTTTGTATTGTTTTTGTTTCTTGTGTGTGCCAGTGGGAGTTTGCAGAGTTCTGAAGATGCGTTTCAAAGATGAAAACCTCTCATCTCTGCTTCTGTCTCTCTGCAGCCTGGCGGTGAGTAGGAGATCTTTGTGGATCAGGAGTTGAAGAAGCAGCACCTGAGACCAGCGGTGAGTTTTCACTCCTTCCTGCCCTGCATGTTTTTTCTGGTCATATACCCTTCTTTTGGGAATCACAGTAACTGGGCCAGACGCTGCCGTCGAGATGAGACAGGGAAAAAGCTGTAGTGTAGACTGTGTAACACACCGTGTGTCAGATCAGATCCACCTCGCCTACAGTGTGTCACATCATCTGTGCTTGTTAAATGTCCCTCATAGGGGCAGCACTGTTTCCATACTTACACATAGTTGAGGTTCATTTCTGTGCTCATTTCTCCATCAGTACAACTTAGCAATTATGTGTTCTCTTGTTAAGTTGTGTTTCCTACCTACCTCATGCTTCGTGATTTGTGAAGTGGCTGCTGCAACAACTGTTTTCCTTTCTATCACCTACCCACACTTTGAAAATGGCCAGTTTAGAGAAAACGCTGACTGAGAAGATCGAACGGTCACTGAATCACTTCTCTGCTTATTAGATTTAATATTTTTTTCTAACACACAGGAGTTTCTGACTAAACACATACATCGTTGTATTGTACACTTGATCTTATAATCTTAATCTTATATGTGCCTGTCCATTAATACAACTATGTGTTGAAAATGATATGTAAATGTTACTGGGTGTGACGTTTACAGAAAGGTGATCGTTAAAGAGTACGTCTCCTGGAAATGGGCTAAGTCTATGTAGGGACCTGGCAAGTGATGAAAACAAGGATGTGTGTGTGCCCACATCTATTCTGGAGGTCTCTTAATTCAGCTTTTCTCACCCTGAGCCGGCTGATGGAGCTCGGAGTCCGTGTCAAGTTGTCAGGAATCCAGAGGGGAAACAGCAACAGGACTCAATTACTGTCTCCTCATGGACCACCTCAACACACACAGACAGACACGCACCCTATTATATCTCAGATTTCTCTCCATCCTTCTGTTTTTACTCTCTCCCTGCCTCTCTCCTTAATGCATCTACCCAGCTCTTCTCCTTCTTCTTCTGGTCTCATTTGTTCATACTTTCCTTCATTCCTTCCAATATCTCTTCCTCAGCTTCCTTTCGTTCCTCATCTCTCAAATCACCCACCTTTGCCTTCCTCTATCAGAGCTGCAGTTTCATAAGATTTACTGTATATGGAGCGCTATGTGTCTGCTGTATGCATATGTGAGCAGCTGTGTGTATTGTCTACATCACAGTGCCCAGTAACCTTGTATTAAGAAGGATCCAAACAAAACTAGACTCCATAAAGAAAACAAACAAGCAGGAAACAAGAAATAATTACTGACCAGAAACCAGGGGATAATCAGAAAGTCATCAGGACAAGCAGTCAGGCAAAATTGTAATGACAAGACACATGAATGCAGGACTGAACACTGGATAGTCACAAATGACACTCTGTGGACAATCTGGCAAGGAGTGAATGCAGGTTTAAGTGGAGGCTGGGTGATTGCAAAGATGGAGCACAGGTGAGTGTGGGCAGAGGAGATGACCACAGCGGGAAACAAACCACAGGCGGGGTCTAACATCACAAGGAAACAAAAATATTCTCAGAACAATAGTATGTGTTTCTAAAAGACAGACACCACAGGTTCATTAAGTTTTAGAGGAACAGATGGTTCCCTAAAAGGCAAAGACATGAGGGGCACAAACTAGCTCCCCCCCACATCAAGACAGGAGTACACTAAAGAAGCAGCATTTTAAAAATGTAGTGATTAATTGCACTAGGACAAACTTTAACCTGCTTCTAAGTGTTTTTGCTGTCGGTTTAAATCAGCATCAGTCAGTGGATCCTGAGAACCAGCTCAGGTATCAGATTTTTTTTCTGATCTTCAGCCAAACATTCACACATTCTCCTGTCGAGCTCTCAAAGATGTTTTAGGACCACAAAACCATTTTCTTTTAACAATTTTAAGACTGCCCTTTTGGGTCAGTGAATTGTAACACCCTCCCACTCCCTCTCTGCGTCTCTGCTCTTTCGACTGACACTAATTGTCTCCTCCAAGAGAACAAGACTCAACAGGCATAAAAAAGCGATAGCTGGGAGACCAATTTGCTCCCTGATTTAGCCTCATTTTATCTTAATGAGAGTTTGTGTGTGAGACAAAGGGATGAGTGCGCTTCTTAGCCTCCCCTTGTTATTTGTGCTTCATCACATGAAGTTTGGTCCCAGGAGTTTTGGTCCCAGGAGACACTGAGGGTTCCTCAGGCTTTCCTTCTTTTTGAACAAGACTTTATAAAAACTACTGAGCTCATTAGAAAAATGAAAGTATATATTTTGGGACGTGTTTTTAAGGATTTACAGTTCTGCACAAAAGTCTGTAGGTAATAAAATTAATGCCTTAAATAGTTTTTATATTAGTTTGGTCTACATTTTTGTAAAACATTACATAGAAGAATTCTAATAAGAATACAAGACTTGTTGCAGCTTAAAGAATAAGCTTATCTAGCTAGCTTATCGTTATCTATATTAACTGTATCTTCAACATACAGAGACGAAAACCAACAATGATTTGCCTCTGCTCACAGTTAATGTCTGTCAGTCCTGGATTAGCTTGTTCATCTGTGCCATAGACCTCTGCTGTCATTCAGAAACAATTAAAAACGCTGCAAGGAGCCATAACTCTGCACTTAGTGACCTTTTTACTCATTACAAAACACCAGAATATGCAGAGATCTTGTGAATGGGCCCTTGGTGTTTGTTTACTTCAGATGCTGTAAAAATTTACGTCCATTCAGAGCCTTTGGGGCAACATTTTTAAAGTATATGTCCAGGCCTGATTCTGCAGAAACTGCCCAGAGTCTATATATGAAAATGGCTTAAGACTGTGTTTAGAGTAAGTCAGAATTAGGGTTAAAGTTCCTGAAGTGCCACTGAGCATTTCAACCAAAAGACTCAGGTTCCTGTTGGTACGTCCCTGTTGTGGAATTCTAGACTAGTTCTGAAGTCAGTTTTTTAACATGTGAATATGTGGAACTGCAGAAAAATCAGTTTCCCACATGAGAAATATAAGAAAGCTTCATTAATAATGATACTTTGTAAATGCAGATACAGTATGTCAGCATTTACTAAGAAACTGTGCGACTGTGGCTCCTGACTCTATGTAAATAATTCACAGACACTAAAAAAGACCTTTCACACTCGGGGCTGGCCGTGATGGCAGCCTTCTCTGTTGACTAGAGGTAATGCAGGCCATGAGTTCTGGTTTACCAGTGCACTCAGCAGGAGTTCTTGGTAAAAGCTTTTCATGATTAAATGAAATAGATAAAAGGAACTACAGTGGCAGCTGTACAGATATCTCCATTTGTGTTTTTGCCAGTCACTGACCAGGCAACATCGTCGGTATTGGCACTGGATCTAAATCACAAAGTGCAGAGTTGTCCAATGTCCCTACAAGCACCAGACTGCACACAAACGGTGCAAAGCAAATTTATTTTTATGACCCTTTTAAAAAAGTCAAGGTTACAAAGTGCTTAAATTATTACATAGCCATAAAAATGACACACACCACTCACAATACAATAAAATAACTTTGAAAAAACAAAAATTAGAGAACCCAGCCCATTAGATTCAGCAGTCTTTACCCGGAGTCAAATGCCAGATCAAACTCTGTGGACAACACACATCACAACCGTCTCTAACGACTATGCTGTGGCAGCAGACGAGCCTGTAAATGGTCTTATACTTTGCTTTTCTATGCACTGCAGCACTCAAAGCACTTTCACACTATTTGGCCATTCACCCATTCGCACTCCCCAGTGTCATCACTGGGAGAAACTGGGGGTTCAGTGTCTTGCTCAAGGACACTTTGACATGTTGACTAGACAAGCCAGGAATCAAACCACTAATCTTCTGGTTAGAAGATGACCCGCTCTACCCCTTGAGCCCCAGCCTGTAAATCAGATGAGCCACAGTTCAGTTTTTCCTCCACTTTAGTTGTCCAGTGCACTTTGACACCACAGTCCTTTTTAATCACCATTCTTCAAACTTTTATTTGCCAGCACGTCTCCCTCGGCTCGAGACGTCAGCGGTTGCTGATGCATACATTGCGTTCCAATAATCTGATCTAGAACTGATAAAAGCATGAATTACTTTTTTCAAAATCACTAAAAGAACAGAAAGGCTTCACTTTAGTCTCAACTGAAAGAACCCCCTTTTGACTATAATGGAGGACAGGGACTATTTAAGAAGGCAGCATCAGTGGAAGCTGTTCCATGTCATTGTATTTACGGTACGTGGAGGCAGAAATGTCTCCAGACCTGAGCCAGTTATACCAGAACTACTGCACAGCTACATGCAGTGTCTCCTGTCAAATCAACAGCATCTCTTCACATGGCAAACAACATCTCCCAACCCGAACCTTAGCTAACTGCACCTTAACCGACAAAGTCCTTTGAAGCCCCAGAACGTCCTCGCACTGATGCTGTTGAAATTTGTCCACACAACCACAGAAAGATACGTGCACACATACGCACAAGTGCATGCTAGGTTGTGGCCTTTTTCCTCCCTCCATGCACAGAGGCTGAATCGTTCATTAGCACCTCTGACAGCTGGGTTTCCTTAGTGATGTCCTCTTGAGAAACAGTTTATACTCATTCCTTCCTAGACATCAGTGTCATCAGAATTTACAGAACTTCTGCCAAGCTTCAGCTGCTTTTACACTAGTGTCTGATGAAAGGCAATCACTCACAAAATTTCTCTTAACTTGGTAAATGTGATGAGTAAGTGAGCGCAGATGGAGGAGGTGGTACTGTATAATGTGTGGGAGGAAAAGAGAGGAAAACAGATGCTGCGTTCATGTCCAGGGCAGTGTTTAATAACTTAGGAAGGTTAAGTCCTCCCATTCTAAAGGTAGCTGCAATAATAGGACATAATGACGTTAGCATTTAAACCACCGGTAGCCGGAAGCTGTCGACACTCAAATATCCTCTTTTGCCACATTGTTTCCCTTCAGTCTGTGTCTTCCCACAGTCCTAAGGCATAAAGGCCAATTATAAGGTTGTTAGTTAGTCCAGCACACGTGGGGAA